CAGTGGGGAGTGCACCTCTTCCCTGGGGAGATTATTGCAATGGCTGGGTGTTCTCACTGGGAAAAGTTTTCCTCTTGTGTCCAACCAGAATCTGCCCAGGAGTAACTTGTACCCCTCGTCTTTTCCATGGGACCCCTTGTGAAAAGGGAGCCTCCATCTTCTTCATAGCCACCCTTAAATAGTGGACTGTGGTGATCAGGTCTCCCCTGAGCCTTCTGTTCTCTGGGCAGAACAAGCCCAGCTCTCTCGGCCATTCCTCATACAGCAGGCAGCAGGCCCAGCCCTTGATCAAGACCCAGAGAAGGGCAGACAAGCAGTGATGTGTCCCTGTATCCTTTCACAGGCCTGAGGCGTCTGTGGCTTCAGAAGCTCCTGAACTAGGCACATAACGTCTCAAGATCTCTCTTCTTGCCTTCTCAAGCTGCGCACATTGTAGCATCCATGGCAGCTTGCAGCAAGGAGTTCCCCAGCTTATTTAGGTGATTTATGAATTGCTGCCTCCTTTAGTTTGCTTTGAAAGTGCCTTTTACTGCTGGCAGGAGTTCTTAATTTAGAACAGATGGTGCAGGATAGATGCCAAACCCCCCCACAGGCCACTTGTGTTTTTATAGTCCTCTGTGATACCCCTATCAGCTGTACCTTTTCCCAACAGAATGGGCAGTTGACTCCTCTCCTATACAGGATCTGTTCTGTGCCTCTGATGGTTCCTGTCATGCCTCTGTCTTCCTCAGCTCTGTCAGAGTGTCTCTGACATGGGGGATCCGTCCTCCCCCTTGCACACAGTCAGAATGTGCGGTTTGAGCTGCGAGACAGAATTACATTCTCTTTTCTTCCATATTCTTTCCCTCCCAGTACTCATTGATGCTTGACTGGCTGTGTTGTGTGCCTAGGCGCTGCAGTTTTCATCCAGCTGCTCAGACTCCAAGGTGCTATTCCTGAATGATATCAAGAACATCCTAGGCCCAGCCTGGTGTAAGTGCATGCTGTAGAGGCTGTTCTCCTCTGAAGGTCTTTGTTTACCTGCAGTGACCGTCCCCTGTCACCTGGTTGGTCAGTATCTCAAGGCTGTGCCACAGTTTGTAGTCAGCCTGTGTGTTTTTAGCCCTGAGGAACACAAAATCGTCAGCAAATGTTTGCACCTCCCTTTTCCCTTCCTTACCACCCTGTCAGGTTCATTCATGCCTCAGCAGCTTAGCTTCTTTACCAGTTTTGGTGAAGGATGAATGTCTTTCGAGAATGCCTCTGGACCCCACATGTCCCTTTTCTCTGCTTACCTGGAGCTTGCCTTGTAGCTATAGCACTGGCAGTCTTGGGCATACCAGAGGTCTTGCCATCAACCTAAATTGGCAAGGGCTGAGGAAGAGCCACATTCTTCATGTCTCTCTTGCATATTCACTTTTGCCAGTTCAGCCTTATGCTTCTAGTATAAAATTCTCATCATTGTGACCTTGCTCTCCTTCCACTTGGAATACTTCCAGTGAGTTCTTGATTTTGATTAAGGCCTTTACAGACAGCATGTCCTAGATGCCAGTGAAGGTACCTAGTAGCTCAGAAGTAACAGAATGGATTGTAGAGGCGCTAGATCCATGACAATAATTGTAAAAAGAATCTTGACACTCCTGATCTTCCCCCAAAAGTATAGAACACCATAGAAAACTTAATTGTCATGTACTTCTGAAGGCTTTTTCAAGGTCTGTGTAAAGAACCAAACTTCTGTATAAGTGCCAAAGTCAGTATCTCTTTGGACACAATGGCAACAGAACAACTTTGCTAGTTCCACTGTCTACTCAGTAAGTCTGACGAACAGGTCAATAGCTTCATGCTGTCCTGCCAGAAACATCTTTTTTCCATCCTGTCTGTGGCTATCACCTTGCTCTTTTCCTCCAGGCCTGGCTGGAGTAGCTGCAGACAAATGGAAATGCCTTCATGGTAAACAGTAAAATTGCAGTTTCTGTTCCTCTCAAGGGATTGTTTTAATGAAAACCATGTGAGGGAAGAAGTGGCTTCACTACCACAGCAAGCTGCCACAGAAGGTATCTTAGGAGTTCACTGGGAAATCATATTGTGATGTTTTCTTTTGCTTCCTTGTAAGAGGATAATGAAATATGTACATATATCAGTCTGTGGTCGAACTTCTAGACTGTCCTTCCTTTATTGCACACTTACGGTTCAGTAGCACCTCACCTCTTCCATGGCCTGCACTTCCTTCTCACAGCTCTGCCAGACCACAGGAGGTGCCAGTGGTTTGTACAGCAATCCCATGTGACCGATATGTTACTGGTCTATTTCATAAGAGTATTCAAAGAACCAGAATATATGTGTTGAATCTTTAAGCAGATCTGGAGATGTGCTTTGTGTGCATGTCACACAGGTCCTGCCTTGCTCATTTAGCCTGCAAAGAGTTATGTTTCCTGTGGACAGCAAAAGGCAGAGCATTGTTGGCACATGCTTCTGAACCTGCTACATGCTCACCAGACAACATTCAGAGCAGTGAGCTGGAAGGAGTCGCTGCTCTCTGTGAACACTCTAGAAATCAGCAAAAGCCTTTTGTCTTGAACAGGTTTTCAGGTGACCTTGGGTCTGTGCAGTGAACATTCATACCAGTAATGCTTCTGCAAGACTTTATGTACATGAGAGGGCAGGGATCTGCTCATTGCCTGTGTCCCAGGAGCCATTCGTAACTGTTCAGCTAGTATTTGACTTTTACCTATCTTCATCTTCTACATGTATTGGATTTCCTCAGTGCATGATCTGGAACCAGCCATGGGGGATATTCAGGTCACCCACCACTTGCACACACAACAAATTTCTTCTGCACCAGTGAAAGCATAAAGTTAATTTGCTTCTGCTCAAAGAGTGGCATAAGCCAGGCTCCAGGCAGTGTCCATGTCTCCTGCCTTGTGCATCTTCTCTTTCTCTGCAGTACCAGCAGCACAAGAGCACAGAGATAATGTTGCAACCCAAGTAATGTTCTGCAGATCAAGGCAGTTGTTTATGGCCTTCCTCTAACTCCCAGTTCAACTTTTAGTAACATCCTATGCAGACAAGCAGAGAGATCTGGGCTTGTTCAGCCTGGAGAAGAGAAGGCTCTGGGGAGATCTTAGAGCAGCTTCCAGCACCTAAAGGGCCCAACAAGAAATGTGGAGAGGGGCTTTTGACAAGAGCAAGTAGAGACAGGAGAAGGTGGAATGGGTTTAAACTGACAGAGGGGAGACATAGATAAGGTGAAAGAAGTTCTTCCCTGCGAGGGTGCTGAGGCTCTGGCACAGGTTGCCCAGAGGAGGTGTGGCTGCCCCATTCCTGGCAGTGTTCAAGGCCAGGTTGGAAGGGGCTTGCAGCAACCTGATTTAGTGCAAGGTGTCCCTGCACGTGGCAGGAGGCTTGAACTGGATGTGATCTGTAAGGTCCATTCCAGCTAAAACCATCCTGTAGTTGTATGATTTTCAGGTACAACATCCTGGAAGAGCAAGCATCTTTCCTATTCAAGCAGTAAACTTTTGCCTCTAATATGCCAGTGATTTCAGTAGTTTCAGGTTCTGGTGAAGCATGCAGGGTAATTTACAGCATTTGCTCCTGTGAACACTCTGAAAATTCCACGGTGTAGTTTGGAGGGAAATACCATGTCCTGAACGCAGGATATACCAGAATGTTTTATACTTAAAGTCAATCTATCTGTTGAATTTTTAGCATTTGGCCACTTGGGATTTGCCCTGTCCAAAGCTTCCAGTCCTGCCTGTGACTTCTCTTGATTCTCATTTTATTGCAGCTGAAGATGGGATTGTGAGCACAAATGAAGACAGTGCCCATCAAGGCATCTTCAGTCCAGTGCAGCCCAAAGGTTTATGTTCAGGACTTTCCAAGGAGAACAGTTCCCAGGGACCTGCACAGGACCCTGTTCTCCCACGCAGGTCAGAAAGGATTCAGAGATCCAAGAGCTTCCAAGTGAGATCCAACATCATCCAGCATTGGAGTTTCCACACCAGAGAAAAACCCTTTACCTGCAATAAATGTGGGGAGAGTTTCCAGGACCGGTCACATCTCATCCAGCACCAGCGGGTGCACACAGGGGAGCAACTCTATGAGTGTTCTGAGTGTGGGAAGAGCTTCACCGTGAGCTCGAAGCTAATCCAGCACCAGGTAACCCACGTCAGGGAGAAGCCCCACATGTGTGCCCAGTGCGGGAAGGGCTTCTCTAAGAACTCTCAGCTTATCCTGCACCAGCGGGTCCACACTGGGGAGAAACCCTACGAGTGCAGGACCTGTGGGAAGAGCTTCAGCGTGACCTCATCCCTGATGCGACACAAGCGGGTGCACACTGGGGAGAAACCCTACGAGTGCAGGACCTGCGGGAAGAGCTTCAGCGTGAGCTCAAAACTGATCCAGCACCAGGTAACCCACACTGGGGAGAAGTCCTACAAGTGTTCTGAGTGCGGGAAGAGCTTCTCCAACACCTCACAGCTTGTCCTGCACCAGCGGGTGCACACCGGTGAGAAACCCTATGAGTGCTCCGATTGCGGAAAGAGCTTCAGTGTGAGCTCGAAGCTCATCCAGCACCAGGTAACCCACACTGGGGAGAAGCCTTACAAGTGTTCCAAGTGCGGGAAGACGTTCTCCGAGAACTCGAAGCTCGTCCTTCACCAGCGGGTGCACACCGGGGAGAAACCCTACAAGTGTGGGACCTGTGGGAAGAACTTCAGCATGAGATCAGCAGTGACACAACACCAGCGGGTACACACTGGGGAGAAACCGTTTGAGTGCAGCACCTGCGGGAAGAGCTTCAGCAGTAGCTCGAATCTTATCCAGCACCAGGTAACCCACACCAGGGAGAAGCCTTACATGTGTGCCGAGTGTGGGAAGAGCTTCTACGAGAACATTCAGCTTCTCCAGCACCAGCAGGTGCACGGTGGGGAGAAGCCCTACAAGTGTACAGAGTGTGGGAAGAGCTTCAGTGTGGGGTCAGCCCTGACACGACACGAGCGGGTCCACACTGGAGAGCGCCCCTTTAAGTGCACCGAGTGTGGGAAGAGATTCCTGTGGAGGTCAACCCTGCTCCGGCATCAACGTGTTCACACCGGAGAGAGGCCCTACGTCTGCACCTACTGCGGGGACAGCTTTCGGCAGAGTACCAACCTCATCCGGCACCAGCACATCCACACTGGGGTGCATCCCTATGTCTGTGCCGAGTGCGGGAAGGGCTTCAAAGAGAGCTCAGACCTCTTCCGTCACCACCAGACCCACAGAGGTGGGGACCCCTAGGTGGGGTGAGTGTGGGGAGCAGTGAGGTCTGATACCCTGAGAGTAAACCCTGGTGTCTCCCCCTCCCATTGACCACCCTGCTTGTGGAGGTTGAAAGCAGTTTCTTCCCAGGAGAGTGAGCCCTCAGAGATAAAGAAGGGGAGAGCCGGTGGAAGGAGCTGATTGGAGGTTTGGGGCAGGTGCCAGCAAGAAGGTGCCCGACTCTTTTCAGTGGTGGGCAGCCCCAGGATGAGGAGCAGTGGCCATGAACTGAAACAGAAGAGGTTTGACCTCCACACGAGGAAGAACTTGTTCCATTGCAGTGGCAGAGCACTGAACAAGGTGTGCAGGGGGATGTGGAGGCTCCATCTCTGGGCACATCCAAGCCTTACCTGGACACGTTCGGGTGCCCCTGCCTCGGCAGGGCTGGGACCGGGTGACCCCCAGGGTCGGCTCCCATGGCTGGTGCCGCTCGCAATGGCCACGCGCAATAAACGTTCGTTGAGCGTCGCCGCGTTGCCTTCCCCGAGTGCGCCTGCGTGGGGCTTGCGCCACCGTCTGCGGGGCGGGTCCTCACGCCTCGCTCGGAGGTCGCCATTGGCCGAGGCGAGGCGAAAGGAGGCGGGGCCGGGGACTTAGGGCCGCTGAGTGACGTCCCGGCTGCCTCCACCGATCGGCGGCGTGGTCGCGTGTCGCGGGCGACTCCTGATTGGCTGCGCTGTCCCCACCGTAGGTGATAAATTCGGGGCGGCCGGGCCGGGCGTTGATTTCACGCCGCAGGGCGGAGGGCGGGTGGCGAGGGCTGCGTCAGAGGCAGAGGGTGACTGCGCGCCGCGCGTGTCCATGGCAATGCTGCGGGGCGGCCCCTGGCTGAGGCCCTCGGGATTACCCGCGGGTCTCCCCCACCTCCCGCAGGCCTCTGCTGTGCTGGGCCCGCCCCTCCTTCCGGTTCTCGGGACATGTGGGACCGGTACCGGCGATGCTTGGCGGGGAAACCTGTGCGGGACTTGTGAGGGTGTTGTCCGTGTGCCTTTACCCCGCGAGCCCTGGACGGCCGCTCCCGGGAGCAGCACCTGGCCCGTGGCTGTGGCCTGGGCCTCAAGCTGTGCTGGGTCCTGTGCTGCGTCTGCCAGCCGTGTGCTCGGGAGCAGCGGGGCTGTGTGCGGCTGTGCCGGGCCAGTGCTTGTCAGGCCTCCCGCATCTCTTCCCTCGACTCCTGTGGGCAAGCGTCCACACAGCAGCTGAGGGAGCGTGCCAGAATGGCTGCCTCATACCCTGCAGTGGTTCCTGCACACAGCTCCTCTAGGAGGATGTTTGAGTGTTTCAGGACAGGAGCTGCGCCGGGTTCTGCTGGTGCCCTGGGGACACTTGTCTCTTCTGCATCACTGGCAGTGCTCAAGGCCAGGTTGGATGGGGCCTGGAGCAACCTGTGCTAGTGGAAGCTGTCCCTGCTCGTAACAGGGCTGGGAACCGGATGAGCTTTAAGGTCCCTTCCAACCCCAGCCATTCTGTGGTTCTATAATTCTTGATCCTGCTGAGCTCAATGAAGAGCTTGATGAATGAAGGCCTATGAAGCCTACTGCTGCCCTAGCTTTTCCTTTGTTGAGTGAAACAGGTATGTTTTTCAAGCCTCTTAGTGCCTAGCACAGCACTGCTTTACGTACATCAGCTATAAGTGCCTGTCACTGGCCCCACTTGGGGTGTCCCAGGCATAGCTGACCCCATGCTAGGAGGGGCAGGGCAAGTACTGGCTCTCCACACAGCAAAGGCTGTTGGCAAGTTCATGTGTGCCTGTCACACTCCATTGCTAGTCTCCCCAGGTGCAAAGCTGGTCGAGTGATGTGCCCCCTGTGCTGTTCTCCCAGGCAATATGAGAAAACAGATTCTGGATGCAGTCCCTGTCACAAGGGCTGATTACCCAAGTGCAGAACTGGCCAAGATCTGTGAATTTACCAGGAATTTCCTTCCTTGGTCACTTTGTTGAGGTGCTGGACTGTGGCTGTGGGGGACAGAGGTAGCGTTTACATGGGCATCTCTTAAAGTGCCTTAGACTTGAATTATTTCCTAGATGTACTCTATATTCAGGTGAAGTCTTGAACTGGGATAAGGCAGTGTAAAAATTATTCTGTGAGGTGCCATTTCCAGCCCCCAAAACCTCCCCAGGGGAGGAGGAGAAGGTGTGAAGCTCTTCTGATGTGAGTGCCAGGTTACCTTTGTGATGGCTCTTCAAGCTGCTAGGCCTGCGGTTCTGGGGTTTGTCTCCACTGCAGTGATGCTTGGGTAGGTGCAGCCACGTTCTGCTGCTGCTTGTTAAAGCAAGGATGCAAGTTCTGCATGTGGGCAAATAGCCTGAAGCTGTAAACTGGTTGAAGAGCAAACTTGAACTCTGTACCACCTGGGTGTTTACAAATTACTGAGCTTCTCCCAAGGGTGCGAAAGCACAGTCAGGGCTTCAGTTCTGTGTCCTTGCCACAGCAGTGTCTACTTTGTTAAAAAGGCACTGGACTGTTGGGATTAAGTGTCTTAATCAGAGAAGTGAGAAGAATGGCTGTGTATCTTGAGTGTGAAACTTGCTGTGGAAATGTGTCAGGGGCAAACTAAGTGCTGGCTAGATGAGATAGGGATGTTTTCTCAGAGGGTTTGAACACTGTTATTGTGAAAGAAGTGTTTGGAGTGCTGAGGTGTTTTGTACCAAGCCTTGTCTCCAATCTCCAGCCCCACTCTCCTGCCTCTTGTAGCTGTTGGATTCCTCCCAGGAGGCTGCTGGTAGGGCACCGAGAAGGTATGTGTTTACCCATCAGCCATGTCTTGATGAGCAGAACTCATGCAGCAAATGAAATGACATTCCAGCCTCTGCAGTGGAAGTGGGCAGGTGCTTGAGACGCCTGCTTGGTGAGTTTTGCAGGCCAGCAAAACCATGAGAAATGAGGGCCCTGAGCATTGACCATGTTGTGGGCTTTCAGCTACCAGTTTCTAAATAAAAGGGATGTGTAATGGTAAGGGATACAGTGATTTTTACTTCCCTTCCTCTGAGTTCTCATGTGATACCCTAGTACTGAAAAGGACAGGGGTTTGATTTGTGCTGACTTGTCTCCTGAATTCACGGCTCATCATGTCTATGCTGGATGGTACAGGGAAAAATCTCAGCTTCCATGTTGTCCTGTGTATGTAGTGTCCTCACTTTCGGCTGAAGGGACTGGTGTTGTCACTGTCCTGGCTATCACTGTAGAGGTGATCATGTCAGATGGAGGATCTGCAAAAAGAGTTGTGGGAGATACAAGTCTGACTGCACCAAAGTCCTTAAATGTCTGTTTGTGTGCTAACCCCTTCTTCCAGCAGCAGACACTTCTACAACAGTAGTTACAGGTTTGGGTAAAGGCTTCTTAGAGCCAATCAGATGCTCCATGGCATGGAGAGCAAAGTCGCAGAGCTGGTGAGTGCTGCTTAACATGAGTGTTTTGCACGAGATGGGTGCAGAGGCTCTGTCAAGTGAGTTAGCAGATGTGTCTTGTAGAATGATGATCTCTGGGGTCACGCTGTGTATGTCTGGCCATTGGGAGCTTTGAGCCATTGCTGCTGCTCTTAACTAGTCATGTCTGAGGCTTGATCTGGTGGCTTCCTTTGGGTTGGATGGAATGTCAAGCCACCTCCAGGCCTCTTGCTGTCTGCAGGGTGGTGCTGAAGTGCTCTTTGTAGCTCTGCTCTCACCTGCTCCTCTGTGCCGTTTGCTGCAGGCCTGTCAGCATGCAGAGGCAGCACACCCTACCTGCAGGACTCTGCCTGTCTGGAAGTATAAGATAAATTGGAACCACTTTCTCTAGTTTAATTTTGGGATCTGCATTTCTTGAGGAGTGCCTGACTTGAAGCCAGCTGCGCAGGAAGCCAGGATGCCGCCAGGACTTGTGCAGCTGTGCTGGCAGGAGGCTGGCTGTGCTGTGAGGCAGGCAGGCTGTTCCTCTGGGCCCGCAACCAGCTCCTGGCTCAGCCTGGGCAGGTTCTGCCTCTGTGCTTCAGTTTCCCTTCCCCATGGTGGATGTTTGGAGCTGTGACAAGTTTGCTGACCTGGTGTGGTGCTTGCTGTCCAGTGAGTGATCAAAATGAAAATAGCGCCCTTGAACCTGGCTTCCTCTACCCTCCAACTGGGGAGGCTGTGCTGTGTCCTATCTTGTGCTGCAGGACCCTGGAGATGTGGGGCTGCTTCCCTTGTGACTTCTGTTCCTGCAGTGGGCATCACAGAGTACTGTACTGTGGTCAGCCCTCTCCTTGGGGAAGGCTCTGTCCCAGTGAGCCCAAGGACTGTGTGATCACAGGGGAAACCATCACCCTGGTGATGTGTCCTCCAAACTGGGTGCTCAGACCCAGCTCCCAGTGCTCCTGGCCGAGTCCTGTGCTGGAGTACGGAGAGCAGTGGAAGTGGCTGTAGAACAGGGCTTCAGAAACTGAGGGTGAGGAGCCAGAGGGCAGTTAATGTATAGCTGGGGTGCTCCATGTGAGCTGGGAGCCAGCAGCTGATGTGCTGGTGCTGGCCCTGTGCTGAGCAGCTGTCTGCCTGGTCTTCTAGCCCTGAGGGGGCTGACCTCGAATGGGAGAGTCTGAGGGCTGGCTCTCTTACAGTGAGTGCTTTCCACGAGCCTGGATGCAGCTTAGTTCCTTGTTGATCTGGCAAGGCTGCCTGTAAGGTGATGGTGCTGCTCTGCACAAAGCTGATTACAGGTCTATTTTGTAAATGAGGTGGGTGGATTTCTGCTTAAGAGGAACCTCAGCTATAAATCTGTTGTCTCACTCCTGCTTCTGGGTAGGTCTTTGGGTGCCCTGCTACATCCATGGAGATTTTTTTGTTAGTTTCCTTTCATGAAACAGGAGGGAGAACTCAGTTACTTCTGGGGTTTGAAGTAAACGCTGCTAGGCAGGAGAGGAGAGTGTGAGTGGTAGCAGGAGCCATCTGCAAGATTGCTTCCTTGAAAATGCCTGCTGTGCTGTGGAAATGGCCAGTGGCTGCTTCTCACCACTGTGCCTGGTGGAGCAGCTCAGAGGCTGCTTGCTGTATGGCTCAGCATTTCAGACCCATCCCTTCATGAAGGCAGCTTCCCTCTAAAACTCCTCTGTGGTTTTGCCTTTCAGGTTGTCTCATCTCCAGCACTAACCAGCAATACCATCTGCAATGGAGAGCGCAGAGCGGGGAGAAGGGGACATGTTGCTCTATGGGGAAACAGAAGATGATGATGTCAGGTGAGTCCTGTCCCACAATGTGGCACAGACAGTATTGGGTAAGGCAGGGGACCTTCCAGGTTAGGGGGTGTGATCTTTCTCCTCATCAGAAAAGGGGTGGGGGACTCCAACAGCTGATTAATCAAATATATATGTGCTGTAAATTTGTTTAATCAAAGTTTTTCAGCAGTGATGGGAAGGAGCAATCTGGCTAAAGCTGGCAGCAAGCTGTTGGTGTTTTTTTAGTCTCTCCTATTACTTGGCGCTCAGAAATGCTTTGACCATTTGGCAGTTGTGTTTGTGCCTTGCTGGCCAAGGCGAGCCAGTTTTCCATGATTTGCTGGGCAGACTCATGTGATGGCAGGTTCTTGGTTTGAAAGATGACCCTAGAGGTGAACTATGCTCCAGTGAGCTGCCCCTCTTGCCTTTGC